CGGTCAGTGGTCACTGCTGGCCTGGGTGCCCGGAGCCTGCACACAGGACTGTCATCAGCAGGAGATTAGAAATTGAATTGAGCAAATCAATCCGTAGCTATCTGTCACCGTGTAAGCTAAAGCCCCTTCGATTAGCCTCTTAAAAACTGGGGTTAGTGGCAACAGTATTTAGGAAACCATCCTGGAAATCTATAACATATTATACCAAGTAGCTAAAATGTCTGATGTCTTTACCATCGTGGCTGTTTAGTGTCTGTGATGAAGGGAAACTAGGTCTAAAATATTCTGTACCCAGATAGAAACAGGGTAATTGAGACACTCAGACAACCCCTGCCAGCGCTGTATTCCAATCACACACCGGGGTCTAGTTTGAAGGGAGGTTTGTAATTTGTTGCTTTCTAATAAACCAATGGGATGTAAATTTATTATTACTATAATAATAACACCTACAAATTCCATTCAATTATAATTACCCAAGGAATACTCTTTCAAATTTGCCTAGACCAAAACAGGAAATAAAAGCTAAAACTTCTAAAAATAAAAACTTTCCGATATCCTGACCCAGCTATGGGTTGGCCCAGATGATCATACTATACTTTGACGAGATCTGAGAACCAATGCCGACCTTGATGTCCATTCAGAAATCATTGTTGACCGATGATTTCTTATGACTCAATTTCCTGAACCCAGCCAGTTCTCTCATTCATCTTGGTGTGCAGGTAATGCCATTCCTGTTGTGTGTGTGTTCTCTCTCTCTGCTTTCTCCTCCTCTCCGCTTCTTCTCCTCTCTCGTTCCTCTCTCTCTCCTCTCTCTCTCACCACACATACACACACACACACAACAACACACCACACACGGCCTTCAATCCAGTCTTGCTCCAGCTGGGTACACCAAGGTTGTGGTGTACCCTCAGACCAAGTTTTTTAATCCTCTCTATGGCACACAGTGTCCTTATCTGTGGAAATGAAGTAACAGTGCTCTTCCCATTTCTGTGGTTTTTTTAAAGGTTAAATGAGTTAAAAACAATCCAGTGCTTGAAGGTACCTGGCGGCCATACAAGTGCCATGTAATTGCTAAGTGTTATCTTATTAGTTTTATCCAACTGTTCTCTCCCAGATCGCGCAGATCCTCAAGGACAATGATTCCTAGAATACATTGAGTATTCATGAGTCACAATACTGGCCAGATAATCTGAAGTAAAATAAATACTTTCCGCCACTGGAAAAAGAAGAAAAATGTTACCCTATGCCAGCAAAAGATTATAAGCAAATAATATAACAAATGATTTCCTATCAATGTTTATAAAGTGGAAAGAAAGAAATCATTTTCCACATGCGGAGTGTCAATAGGAGGAAATTCAACAGAGGGCCCTAGGCTTTGGGCATGGTATGAACGCCTGCTGCCCTGAGCAGACAAATAAAGATGGCGTTTCCCTCCACTACCTGCTTGGGTCTTGGAAACATCTCAGTTAAAAACCATACTAGACTGAGCACATAACAATCACACTTTCTCCAGCCTGGCCAGTTCTGCAGGCTTCCCTCCCCCACCCATCAGCAGGTCGGACAACTAGCCTACACTCTTTTAAGTAAACAGCCCCCCTGGCCCATGGTCCTCCTCCTCCGACAGGTCGCAGCCTTGCCACCTCGCCAGAACCCTCAGCAACAGGGGTCTTGACCTTCAACCCAACAATAAGTCCGTGAAAATTTGGGATGTGGGGGAGAGCCCCCTGGTCCCGACACCCTATAGATCCTGACCGCCCTCCACCAATGTAGGAATTGCACTAAGTGAAAAGAATGGCAGCAGAAGACAGAGAGGGTTGGGTGGGATCTTCACTGGTCTCTGTGGCCGGGACGCGCGGCGGGGAGGGGCCAGAGCGCAAAAGTCTGGTCGTTTCTGCAAATTGTATACTCTTCATCCACTATGCTAGGCTATTTCATTTCCTTGTGTTACTTCTTAAATTAAACTATTATAAATGGAATTGTGTTTTTAGTTTGGTTCTCAGTTTAGTCATTATTGGTGTATAGAAATGTTATTTATTTTTGTACATTGCAGTGAAGTTATCTTCAACGAATCAGACAAAAACATACACTGGGGAAAGGACACACTATTCAATAAGTGGTGCTGGGAAAATTGGAGAGCCACATGCAAAAGAATGAAACTGGATCTGTATCTCTTACCATATATAAAAACTCAACATGGATTAAAGACTTAAATGTAAGGCCTGAAACCATAAAAATCTTAGAAGAAAACCTAGGACAGACTTCCAGATGTTGGCCTAGGCAAAGAATTTATAACTAAAACTCCAAAAGCAAATGCAACAAACACAAAAATAGACAAATGAGACTTAATTAAACTAAAAAACTTCTGTACATCAAAAGAAATCAAAAGAGTAAATAGACAACCTCCAGATGGGAGAAAATATTCACAAACTATGTATCGAACAAAGGACTAATATCCAGATTGTACAAGGAATTCAGACAACTCAGTAAAAAAAAAAAAAAAAAAAAAACCATTAAAAAATGGGCAAATGACATGAGCAGGCATTTTTTTCAATAGAACATATACGAATGACCAAAGAACATAAAAAAATGCTCAACATCACTAATCATCAGAGAAAGCAAATTAAAGCCACAATGAGATACCAAAATGGATCATAGACACAAATGTAAAGCTTAAAACTATAAAACTTATAAAAGAAAATAATAGAAGGAAATCTTTGTGACCTTGGATTAGACAAAAGACTCTTATCATGATCCATACGGGGAAAACTCAATAAATGTGATGTCATCAAAATTAAGAACTTCTGCTTTTCAAAATGTACTGTTATGGTTGGACGAGGTGGCTCATGCCTATAATCCTAGGACTTTGGGATGCTAAGGAGGATTGCTTGAGGTCAGGTGTTCGAGACAGGCCTGATCAAGAGTGAGACCCCGTCTCTACAAAAAAACAGAAAAATTTTCAGGCGTGGTGGCGCGCTCTTGTAGTCCCAACTACCGCGAGGCTGAAGCAGGAAGATCACTTCTGCCCGGGAGTTTAGGGTTGCAGTGAGCCATGGTGACACTACTGCACTCTAGGCTGGGCAATGGAGTAAGACCCTGTTCCCGAGCCGCAAGCGCACCCCGCCCCTCCGCGACGCCGGGCCGCCACCCGAGCCCACACCCCGCCCCGCTGGCTGCACACTGGGCTCCGCTGGCTGCACACTGGGCTCCGCTGGCTGCACACTGGGCTCCGCTGGCTGCACACTGGGCTCCGGGCAGAGGGCGCCGAGCGAGGCAGCAAGGCCGGCGGGCGTTGCGCCTTCCTGTCTTCGAGCCAGAATCATCCCCCCTCACTCACATCAAATGTGAGAGTTTGTTTCAGTAGCAGCAGTTTTTGAGGCACGTGCTATTTGCCAACACTGGCTCCTACAGCCGCCAGTGTCCCCTCCTCGGAGGTCCGGGTCCGGTTCCCAGCATGGACCCCAGCATGGCTCGGAGCCCAGCAGGAGCCGACCGGGCAGACTCCGCTCAGAGGCCCGGGTGCCATGGGTCTCCTCGCCCCTCTGCTGCCCCAGCCCTAGGTGTGCCTTCTTGCCATTTACTTAAATATTCTTTATGTGAAATTCTCTTCACTAAAATAACAGGCGTGGTTTCTGTCTCCATCTGACAAAATCTGGTCCCATTTCTGATATTTTAAAATATTCAGTTAAGGAAGAATTGACAGCTCCTTGACACGACTCGTAGACAAACAGCCCTCCCCCAAAGCCCCGTCTTGCTGGCAGGAGTAGGGGGTGCCCGCCAGGACGCTGTGTTGGGGGCCGTAGCCAGGACAACCAGAGGGACGAAGACGAATCCTCTTCACTCCCTACTCTGATGTCAGACACTTTGAGACCATATTGCTGTGCGGGAAAGGGCAAGGTGCATAAGAGCAAATATAACATCTATCTTTGGGGTAACAAATAACAAATATAAATGAATCTTATATTTGCTAAGAGATACTAGAAAAACAAACTAAAAATTAATTTTAAAAATTCATTACATACAGAGGGAAGGAGAAACCTGGTAGAGAGGATAGGAAAGGAAGCAGAATACACCTAGTCACAGAGCTTTGACAAAATGTTCTAAATACTAAAAAAAAAAAAAAAAAAGTGAAATTAATTTCTGAATTAATCTGGATTCCCAAACTATTCCCAAAACAATCTGAAATGAATAAGCCTAATAGTCTACCTGATCGGAAACATAACCATACAAAGAAAAGAGTTACTTCTAGTGACTTTAGGACATTAAAGAGTTGCTGGCTTTAAAACACATTTCCCCTGCCGAATCCACAGCAGCAAAATGATCCCTAAGAGTCCTGTCTCATCACTGTACTCAGTTCCAAGTTGAAGCCTCCAGTGGGTGCATCTCACTGTGGACCATCCAGCCATCCAGAGTCCTAGGCACAGCAGCCACTGGGAAATACAGTTTTTGGCTTTGTCTATTCTGCACACAGGACTGTACATCAGCAGGAGATTAGAAATTGAATTGAGCAAATCAATCTGTAGTATCTGTCACCGTGTAAGCTCAAGCCCTTCGATTAGCCTCTTAAAAACTGGGGTTAGTGGCAACAGTATTTTAGGAAAACTCATCCTGGAAATCTATAACAATATTATACCAAGTAGCTAAAATGTCTGATGTCTTTTACCATCGTGGCTGTTTAGTGTCTGTGAGGGAAAAGACTAGGTCTAAAATATTTTCTGTACCCTAGATAGAAACAGGGTAATTGTGACCACTCAGACAACCCTGCCAGCGCTGTAGTTCCAATCACACACTCAGGGGTCTAGTTTGGAAAGGGAGGTTTGTAATTTGTTGCTTTCTAAATAATCCCAATGGGATGTAAATTTATTATTACTATTAATAATAACATCCTACAAATTCCATTCATTATAAATTACCCCAAGGAATACTCTTTCAAATTTGTCTAGACCAAAACAGGAAATAAAAGCTAAACTTCTAAAAATAAAAACTTTCGATATCCCTAGACCCAGCTATGGGTTGGCCCCAGATCACCCACTATACTTTGAAGAGTCTGAGAACCAATGCCAACCTTGATGTCCATTCAGAAATCATTGTTGACGGATGAATTTCTTATGAGCTCAATTTCCTGACCCAGCCAGTTCTCTCATTGCATCTTGTGTGCAGGTAAAATGCCTTCCTGTGTGTGTGTGTGTGTGTCTCTCTCTCTCTCTCTCTCTCACACACACACACACACACACGGTGCTCTTCAATCCAGTCTTGCTCCAGGCTGGGTACACCAAGGTTGTGTACCCTCAGACAAGTTTTTAATCTCTCTATGGCACAGTGTTCTTATCTGTGAAATGAAAGTAACAAGTGCTCTTCCCATTCTGTGGTAAGGGTTAAATGAGTTAAAAACAATCCAGTGCTTTGAAGAGTACCTGGCGCATACTAAGTGCCATGTAATTGCTAAGTGTTATCCTTATTATTATGTTTATTCCAACTGTTACTCTCAGATGCCTGCAGATCTCAAGATGACAATGATTCTAGATACATTGAGTATTCATGAGTCACAAATACTGGCAGATAATCTGAAATGTAAGATAATATTTCCCCACTGGGGAAAAAGAAGAAAGAAAATGTTAGCTATGCAGCAAAGATTATATAGCAAATAATATAACAAAATGATTTCTCTATTAATGTTTATAAGTGGAAAAGAAAGAAAATCATTTTCCACAGTGTGGATGTGCAAACTAAGGAGGAAGTTCAACAGAGGCCCTAGGCTTTGGCCATGGTGATGAACTGCTGCTGCCTGAGCAGAACATAAAGATGGGCGTTTCTCCCAACTCTGCTCTTGAGTCTTGGAAACATCTCAGTTAAAAACATACTAGACTGAGCAAATAACAAATACACTTTCTTCAGCCGTGGTCAGTTCTGCCCAGCTCCCTCCCCACCCATCAGCAGGTCTGGACAACTAGCTACACTGCTTTTAAGTAACAGACCCCCCTGGCCAGATCCTCCTCCTCTGACAGGTCGCAGGCTGCACAGCCCAGACCCTCAGCAACAGGGAGTCTTGACCTTCAACACAACAATAAGTCGGCGAAAATTGGGATGTGAGGGGAGGAGCCTCCTATCCGACACTCTAGATTCTGCCTCACAATGTAGGAAGTCCACTAAGTGAAAAGAAGACAGAAGAGGTTGGGTGGATCTCACTGGTCTCTGTGGCCGTGTGTGGGGGAGGGGGGAGGGCAGAGCGGGAAAAGTCTGGTCGTTTCTGCAAACTTGTATCTACCTTCATCTACTATGCTAGGCTATATTCATTTCCTTGTGGTTACTTCTTAAATTAAAAGAATGAAGAAAGGCTAATACCTCAAGATAAATTAAAAGATTTAAAATTGAAGGCAAAAGCTCAGATGACAACACTGGCATTCAGACTTGATGGTGAGGAAATCTTTTCCAGCAAAGACTCAGTCTCTTTAAAGACCTAGCATCTCCGAGTAACGAAAGGGAAAGGTCTGAATGAAGCAAATCGTTTTGGCAACTACATGGACTTTGTCCATGAGGAATCTGAACCAATAAGATCACATTCTAACAGCAGTTTTTTGCTCACCAACTACCCAGAGAATTTTACAGAGGATGAGAATTTCCAGCAAAAATAACTAGATTTTTTTTTTACCACCTGGACACACCAACTGCTCCAGTTTGTGGTACATTGCTAGAAGTTTCTCAGCAAATAAATGTCCCTCTGTAAACTGCTATTTAACAGTCTTTCGGATATGAAACATATCAACCAATCCTCAGCAAAGCAAATAGTTCCTAGAAAATATCTGATTGGAATAAAAGAACTAGAAAGTTGGAGAGTCTGTAACAGGACTGTATCTTACACTATTTCCATAAAATATATTCATAAACTGTCAAAACATGAAGAGTCAATGAAAGTCGACTTTTTTAATAGATGTTTCTGGGATTCAGCATGTTTAGGTTTGGTTTGTATGTTTGCTTTGCACAGTTTTATTTGTTGCTGATTTTATCCCGTGTATATTTACCCTTGTAAGAGACATCTATTATCTTATTGTGCCATCCATTGTTCTCCGTCTTGTGTGTAGTCGGGTGTAACTGTGTATGTTTGGTTTCTATCTATAGTAGAAAAGAACAAAAATAAAGAAAAATTTTCCTTTTGGGGAAAAATGGTTTATTTCTCTGTTACCTATAAAAGGAAAGGCCACAGCATTCATCAAAAGTAGATAATTTTTGTTGAATAGCATAATCTAGTTATAAATGAGAGATATATAATGTGAAATTACATATTAAGTGTGAGTGTAAACCGGTAAAGTCAGAATTTCCCCTTACTCCTTTAAGAAATCACACAAAAGCAAGAAAGTGGAGCATAAACACAACTGTAAATTCCATCCTTAAGACAGTAGGGAAAATCTGAGGTCATGAAGCACAAAATGGGGAGGTCTTCTGAAGGCATTTAAGGACAAACACGGGACAGTGCAAAAAGAAAGAATGGCTACGGCTGCAAATCTGTACAACAAAGATCTGTTGAAGCCGAGGTGAGTGGGGCAAACTGAGGTCCAGATGCATTGTCTCTCAGTTCCCACCAAGGCACTGGGTGCCTGGGTTGGGGGTAGGAGGTGCCCTAGACCCAGATTGGTCACCGTCCAGGAAAGCACCAGAAACAGGCTGAAGGAAGAATCTCACAGTGAGGGAAGAAGACAGTCTGTGAGGTAGGGGATTAAAAGGAAGAAAAAGTAACTGCACTGTGAGCAGCTTCCATTCTTGCTAGACTAAGAAGTAAAGGAGGCATGGCCCAGAAATAAAACCCTGCTGTCACAAAGGGAGACGAGAGAGAGACCAACAACCCAATAGAAAAGTAAGCAAGATAACATGGATGGTCCCCAGAAACGAAGATGCAGATGCTTTCAAACATGAGGAAATATTTCAATCCCACTCTTAAAAGAAAGTCAGTGATACTTTCCACTTATTAGATTGGCAGAATTCAAAAGCTGTGATGGCAAACCGTGTGAGTGATGGTGCGGGGAAATAAACACCCTGCTATATTGGAGGAGGGAGTGCAAATCTGCAAGCTCAGGGGAGCAATCTGGAAACGGCGCTCAGAAATGAAGCCTTTGACCCAAGAATGCCACTTCTAGGAAGTGAGAAACGGTCAGCATTTTTTTTGAAAAGTCTGAAACAATCTAAATGTTCACAATAGGGGGCCAAATAAATTATGGTACAGTGGAGTATTATGCAACTTTTTAAAAGAAATGATGCAGACCTGTATGTACTGATATGAAAGGCGCTCCAAGGCTGTGCTGTGCTACCACTCGAGCATGAGAACTCGTGTAAATAAGTATATACTCACTCGTGGCCATGGAGACTGTCTCTTGGAGCTGGCAGCAGGGGCGCCTGTAGAGAGAAGAAAATAGTGAATCGAGAGATTCACAAACCCATTACAAATTCCATGTGTGGGTGGGGTGTATAGGCGGGCACACAAATGAAAGAAATATTGAAAGTTCCTACAGGCATTTGCTGTGGTTCTCTGTACTGTGAGGTTATGGATTATTTTTCTCTACTTTCTTGTAGTGTTTTGAGTCCATGATGTTTTACAGTGAAACAAGATGCTTAAAAAAAAAAAAAAGAAGAAGAAAAGAAACAGGATTTTTTTTCCTTGTAAAATTGTCAGTTACGTCTAGCAAACAAAAATGCCTGGTCAGTTCACTTAGTCAAAACCTGCCTTTGATTGTCATGCTGTCGGGCAGCACAGTGGGCTGGGGCTGGAATCCCCAGCTCTGCACCCAGATGCCAGTCAGCGGTCAGTGGTCACTGCTGGCCTGGGTGCCCGGAGCCCGGCGGCCCTGTGTCCTTGCACTGCACTGGGCCCTGCAGAGGGTGCAGAGGGAGGACAGAACATTTGAGAACAGAGTTTCACTTGTGGTGAAACTTTCACCTCAGGTAAAGGCCTCCCCCGAATGCTACTGCCACCAGAATTAAAGGCTTTGAACTATTTTGGCTGCATTCTTGGCCCTAAGAGACAGGTTTCCTGTTAATACTGTTTTGACTTAGATTGTTTGGGTCTCTCCAGCAGGGGACCAGATTTAGATCAAACGTACAGGATCCTCCTGCTGCAACAAGAAGGGCCTGGAACACCCAGGGAAGTAAAAATCCCCGTTGTTAGAGGGTGGGAAACGGGACGGAGGTGCTTTCTCTGCTGTCCCAGGAGGCCCTGGTGAAGAAAGGCCTGCCTGCCTGGAGCCACACAAAGCCACGGCAGCCTGGAGGCCTTTTGGGGAAGGCAGGTCCTTCTCTGGGGCCCTGTGCCAGGGAAAGGAGGCCTATGCAGTTACACTCAGAGCACCAGCCTGTGCACAGGGCTGTGTAGGGCCTGCCACTGGGCAGCTACTATTTTTAATGGATGCTCAGGAAGCCTGGGAATGTGGAACCAAGGAGAAGTCGGGAGGCAGGGGCCCTCCTGGCCCACTCAGACTCAACCTGGCAGATGCCCGTATATAGGCAAGATGAGACGCTGATGCCCAAGGACACTTCTTTCTCAAAGGGTGCCCCCACAGCCTCAGGCACTGAGCAGGCTGGCCTGCCCACCCCCGCATGTGCCCACTGCTGACATGGCTCTCTGGTGTAGCACGTCCCAGCAGGGGGTATCTCTGAAGCAGACAGGAAGGGACCAACCCAGTAACCACAGTCCCCAGGGTAGTCAAGTGGGGCAGGGTCTAAGTGGGACCTACTCTTCCTTCCATACTTGAGTTCCATGTTCCGTTTATGGGGCCGGGACAGTGGCTGCAACACCTGAATCAGGACCTTGACGTTTTCACAAGAGCCAGTGAAGATTACAGTGAAACCTTCGAGACAGAGCTTGGCTGTAACCACAGACGTTTTGCTTCTGAAAGAGCCAGGTCTTGGAAAAGGCCTTTCCTTTGTTTGAATATGGACCTAGGAACCAGCATCTGCAGTCTCTTTCCTAGCGTGATCTGGAGACATCCAAGTGAGTGTAGGAAGGTGCCTGTGGTGCCCAGCGGGGTCTCTGGGGAAAGGTCGTGACCCCATTGCCCAGAGACCGGAGGTTGGCAAACAGCCCTCAAAGGACTGAAGTGCAGCTCTTTTCTCTGAAACCAGAGCAACACGGCCAAAGTGTCTCCTCCCATTGCAGATGACAAACTGTGAAGAAAAGTCTTGATGTTTGGCGGAAGTTCCACTTCATTGTAAAGTTAATAAAAGAAAACTATGTGTTAAAAACAAAATAGCCTTTTCCCTAACAATCACTGCTTCAAATGTCACAGAAGTATCTGTGCTTCAGTTAAAAGCGAAAAACAAAAATAATGTGAAAGGTAAAAATAATTCAGATTTCAGAAGAATGGACTCGCAGCACATATGTGACTGAAAATACCTTTTTGCGTGAAATACTCTTTGTATCCGCAGTTTTCACACAAAGCCAGGTGCACGACGGACTCACCCGCAAGCTTGACAGCATCCTGACGCCTGGGCCTCACCCAGACCAATGAGACCAAGATCTGGGGAGAAGAGCGGGGCTTGGGCGTGTGTTTATGCCTCCTCAATTGATCTGAATGTCCCGTTGGGATTGAGAAGCCCTGGCAGGTCTGAACCGTGACTGGAGTTTGCCTTGTAATAAACGGCCTTCCCCTCTGTGCCCTCGGGGGTGTGATACACACACGTCCTTCTAGGGCCCCAGGGGCTGGCCTGGCCGGCAGAGCCCCAGTTGCAAATGCGCGTCTTCTCTGGAGCCCCGCGGCTCGAGTGCATGACTCTCCTTCCCACCCAGCTGCAGCCGTGCAGAGTGCCCGGCCAGCCCTGCCGCGGGGACAATGCAGCAGGGCAGCCTGATGCTGGGCAGTCTCCACGCCGTCTGGGCCCTGCCGCCGCCAGCCTTCCAGCCCGGCCCTCGTGTATTAGTGTGACCGACTGACTGGCCCGTCCGTGGGCTGGACTGCCTGGAAGACACTCGCCCCAGTGCAGCCCGTGGCCGGGTCAGTATCAGTCAAGAGGACAGAGTTGTGGGGACAAAGCTCTGGATTTGGTAAGTCATTCCTGGTAAGTCATTCAGTTTGTAAGAGAAAAACTGTCGTTATACACACAGCCTCGAGAAAGCGGCTGGGTGGGGTCGGAAGCCGTCTTTCCCAGGACCCGCTCCACCCACCCTGGAGGGTGGCTCTAGCGGCACACTTTCCTAATACGCAGAATGGGGACAAAATTCCTCTCTGAGTATTATTGTAAGAATAACTGCAGAAAACCAAGTAATAAATTCTAAAATAATATTGGAATGCAGGGGATAAGTATGTGATCACTTCTCAAGTAACATGTGAAATAATATTTTAAGCTGATGGTTGTTCAAAATGGTATCCCGCGTGCACACGCGTCACAGAAGAACAAATACTATTTGATTCGATTTATATGAGGTTCCTAGAGCAGTCACGTTCGTAGAGACGGAAAGGAGGATGGTTGCCAGGGGCTGGGGGAGGGGAAATGGAAGCTTCTGTTTAATGACTATGGAGTTTCAGTTTTACAGTGTGAAAAGGGTTCTGGAAACGGAGGGTAGTCATGTTCACACAACAATATCAGTGTGCTTAATACCACTGAACCGCACACTTAAAATGGGTAAGATGGTAATTTTATGCTATGTATATCTTACCATCATTTTTTAAAAATTAAAAATTTAGGAAAGAATTAAGCCCACACACACAGGACAGCAGAGCTGTGAGAACAGAGGGAAATGGACCTGGAGTCTCCTGATCAAGCTGGCCCCAAAGCTGATGATCTCGCAGAGTTCCACGTTGCTTAAGTTTGTTTTAGACTCTCTGATGCTTATGGCTTCAGGCGTCTCCACTGCTATGTTGAACATGAAAGAAGTGAGTATCACTAGCTTCCAGAAAACCACCCCAATGGAACTACCAGCCCCACGCCTCCTCAGATCGAATAAGTCATTACCTGATGTCCAAACGAGAGATTGTCCTGTGGATGATCCATTCCAACCCCTACCTTCAACCTCTCTTCACCCCTGACCTCCACTGAGCTTCACCTGCTCAGTCGCTAGGCCACAGCATAGACCTGTCATCAAACATAGTCTCCAAAATCGTATGCTCTGATTCTTTTTCACAACTGCTATCTTAAACTCCTCGATTCCTCATTCCCATACCTGCTCTGTAGCATTTAAACTGGAGTCCACCTTCCAGCCTAACCCCTATGACCTGCTGCGCTGGTTCATAACTGGCTGCGGTGCCCCGGCTGTGCTTTGCTGCCTTTGTATGCCCAGGCAGTTCCCGTCCTTCTCCTAAAGCAGGTCCTCCCGCTCCCTCTCCACACAACGCACCTTGTCCCTCCTGTGTTTCCCAGTCACCTCTCTCCCCTCTTTCTCCTACTCTCACTCGTATCCCCAGCTTCTTCCCACAATCTATAAACATACTCAAGCTTCCCCATGTTCCTCCCATTTAATAACACATCTCTCTGCCTGCTATGCCCTTCCAGCTGCTACCTCATCATTGTCCTTCCCTTCAAGGCCAAGCAGCTCAACCACCCATCTGTGCTCCTTGTCCCCATCTCCTAACATCTCCAGCCTCCTGAAGTCAGGCCTCCAGCCTCAACCACCGCAATGGAAGCATTCTCTTAAAAATGGCACTAATCCCCAACTACTATATCCAATGGATCTTTTTCTAATCATGCTCCTACCTGTACTCTCTGCCACACATTATATGGTTCCCTTGGTTTTTCCTGCTCCTTAGGCTGCCGGGATGGCACTCCTTCTAGGCTGTCCTCCAGTCTCTCTGACATTCTTTCTCTTTCTCTGACTATCCCTGAGAAGTTGGGGTTCTCTATAATACACCTGTGGCCCTCCTCTCTTCTCATCCTAGGTACCCAAGCTAGTGACTTCATCTAATCCCATGTGTGCAGGAAAGGGCGCATTCCAAGAGGTCTGAGATCTTCAAATTCTGTGCATTCCAAGAAAGATCTGCCCCTTGCCTGGCTCCTGGGAGTAAACCTCTAAACCCTGCCCTGGGAGTTCTCTGCCAGATTAGAGTGTCTATTTCCTGGGGCCTTGAGCCAGACAGCTTATGTGGACAGTGTAATTTATGGTGTTGGGGAAGGGTGGTCTTGGGCCATGTGGTACACAGCTGACCTTTGCAGGCGCTGGAGGCTGAGTGGCCATAGTCAGTTACCTGGGAACCGCATGCCTATGTGACCGACCTCCAATAAATGCCCTGGACACCAAGGCTCTGGTGAGATTCCCTGGTTGCCAGTCCTCCCATGTGTGTTGTCACACGTCATTACCAGGAGAAGAAAAGTACCATCTGCTCCAATACCCTGGGAGGGACCACTGGGAGCTCACGCCTGGTCCCCCCTGGACTCTGCTCTTGCAGCTTTTGCCTGTGCTGGGTTTTGTCTCCTCCTGTCATTGTAACAAACCATACCCATGAGGACCACAGCTTTTCTGAGTTCTGTGAGTCCTTCTAGTGAAGGGCTGAGACTGAGGGTGGTCTCAGGGGTCCCCAACACAGCACACCATGTCATCATCAGCACACTGGTGACTCGTAAATGCATACTTTTTTCCACACGTCTCCTGAACACCAGCTCTACACAGACATTACAACCAGGATGTCTCAGTAGCACCACAGACGCAAACTGTCCCACGTTGATCTTATGTTCTGCTCCAAACTCATTCCTTACCATGCTTTTCTGCAAGCCCCGCCAGCCCAGTCTAAGATCTGGCAGCATCTTGCCCTCCTGCCCTCTTGCCCTCCTGTCCTCCTGCCCTCCTGCCCTCCCGCTCCTCCCTCCGTCACCGTAGGTGCTGTGATGGACCCTCCAGGTCTGTCCTGCTCTCCGGCCACTGCTCCTGGGTTTGGGCCCGCACAACACCTGGCCCTGCAGTCCATACTCTCTGGAAAGGTCTCCCTACACCCGGGCCGCACCCCTCCAACTATCCCAACTACACGCAACACAAAACTTTTGAATTATTATTATTACAGCCCAGAAAGCTAAGGAAAAAATTACCATATTAATAATTTGGGGTTTTTTGTGTGGTCTTTTTGTTTTGTTTTGTTATTTGACACAGGGTCTCGCTCTCTTGCCTGGGCTAGAGTGCCATGGCATCATCATAGCTCACTGCAACCACAAACTCCTGGGCTCAAGTGATCCTCCTGCCTCAGCCTCCCTCAGCTAAGACTATAGGCGCATGCTACCAATCCTGGCTAATTTTGCTGGTTTTTGTAGACAGGGTCTCACTATGTTGCTCAGGTTCATCTCGAACTCCTGTGCTCAAGTGCTCCTCCCGCCACAGCCTCCCAAAGTACAACATGAACCTTTTTAAAAAGAAAAACCAGGATTCTAGTTCTAGTGTCTGCTATCCTGCGGGCCCGACAAAATGCTAGTTCCCTGTCCTACCCCATTTCTCTCCACCTTAAGAAACTTACAGTGAGATAATTGGGGAAAGAAGGAAGGTATAACCTGTGTTGAAGAGATTATATGACAAAGAAACTGAATGTTTAACACTGCTTTATAACTCTCTGGAAAAAGGCAAATCCCACACCAAAGCAAGAGTCACAATTATATGGCATGGTGATTTCCCCGATAGGCACCTAGGCTCAGAGTAGAAGGCTCGTGCTCCACTTCTCAGATAAACCTTTATTACAAACTCTCAGAAGAGATTGGTGAGGCTCTAGTATATGCCAGTGAGATTTTTTTTAGGTCAGTGTTGTTAGTTATATTGTAGTAATAATAACAGTCACAGTAGTAATAGTATGGTATCCACAGCCATGGAGGGAAGAAGTAACAGAAAGAGAAGTAATATTAATTCAGTACTTACCTACTGCCAGACCCTGGCTAAGCACTTTAATTAACACATATTATCCCTTTGCCATAATTACTAGCAGTAATAGCAGCCACAGGAGCTATAGCAGTGTTAACGGTGGTATTGTTGCAGCAGTGTATACAGCTAGCATTACAGCTCTTGTTACAGCTCTTATTGGTTTGACCAGGGAAAGAAACGAGCGGCACACGAAGAGTCGGAGAACAGCCTTTATTCTTCTACAGCAGGCTCAGCACACCTAGTGTTACACCTCTCTTCGCATCTTCCAATCTTCTCACCTCTTGCCCCTTCTGCTCCTGCTTTTATACCCTGGGTAGGGCTCAAAAAGCATCCAATCAACTACAAGCTTTAACATCCAATCAACAACCAGCTTTAACATCCAATCAAAGCAGTGGGATTCAAAAATTACCCAATCAGGATCATGCAAACAGCGTGGCCAGAAACAGGCAGCAGAATGGTGGGTCTGGGGGCATTCCGGCATGTGTCCCGGGCACCTCTCTGCGTCGCGGTGCTGGCCCCAGCAGCATGCCCTCCAACTGGCCACAGGCAGCACTGGCCCAAGACGTGGAGCTACGTGGAGGCAGCAAGCGGCCGCATCCCAGCGCCGGACATTTTCCACATCAGTATTACCTATTGTTAATTGCCAGGCTCCAAACTAAGCCTTGTATGATTACTAGCACATTTTATGCCCTTGAAAGAATTACTATTATTATCTACGTATTACAAGTGGACTTCCCCTTCTGACCAAGAGGGAGTAACAAGGTCTTGACTTACCCTCTTGTCTGAATCAACAAAAAGAATAAACAAAATATATAAAATAATACACTGTACCATAGCAGGGGAGGATAGTGGTCCCCAAGAGAAGGGAAACAAACGATGCAAAGCCCTCTGATCCCCCCAACGTACGGTGGCCTCTCCAGCTGTGGGGAAGGGAGGGATAGCAGAGGAATCCAGGACTCCCAGGCTGGAGAGACAGAGCCCGGGGGACCACGGCAACTAGACTTTGCAAGACAGAGCACTGTTGAAGAAAGAGCTTCAGAGAGAGAACTACAGAGATCTGCAGAGAGTCACCCTTAAATATTTAGTGCCTGAATGTGAAGAAACTAACCCAAGCCTGGGGAACAGATTAGAGGAAATAGGACCTGACACTCACACAGTGCCAGGAATAGTGTCTGTCCCCACCAGACATACTGAAAAACCTCATCATTCAAGGGACCTTGGATAGAGCGCACAGAGCATGTTGCCTTAGTGATGGGGAATAATTAGTCTGAGGTTAAACACTGTCCTGGCTCCACCTAACAAATCCTAAAAGCAAGACCCAAAAGGACCAGGCCGTTTCCAAGTAGCTCACCTGCATCCTAAACAAAGCTCAAGAATACAAGAATATGCGGCACCCAGCAGGGTGAAATTCACAGTGTCTGGCATCTAACCAAAAATGCCCAGCAGGCAAAGAAGCAGAAACCATGAGGAGAAGAAAAATCAACCAATCAACGCTGACTCAGAACTGACAAAGATGTTAAAGTAAGCAAACAAGGACACTAAAATCATTGTTATAACTGGATTGTGTATTTTTAAAAATTAGTTACACAGAAGATATAAAATAGAGGCAAATTAAACATCTAGAGATGAAAACTACAATGTGTAAGAAGATAAAATAAAAATACACTGGATAGATTAGAAACAGATTAGACATTGCAGATGAAAAGGTTAGTGATCTTGAAAATATAGAAACTATCCAAAATAAAACACCAAGAAAAAGAAAATAAACAAAAAATTGAAATGAATAGAGGTGAAGGGAATAAAAAACATACTTGAGGAAATATTAATAATTGCCAAAAGTTTTCAAAGTTTATCAGAACTATAAACCCAGAAATCCAAGAAGCTCAACAAACCCCAAGCTCAAGAAACTTAGAGAAAACTACAGTAAGGCATACCATAATTAGGTTGTTCAAAACCAGTGATAAAGAGACAATCTTAAAAGCAACCAGAGTGAAAAGACATATTGCATACAAAGAAAAAGACAGGAGGACAGAAGATTTCTTGCCTGAAACAATGCAAGAAAGAAGACAATAAGGCAACATCTTTAAAAGACATCAGAAAAGAACATTAGCACTAAGCTAACATTGGGTACCATCAACCTCAGGGAAGCTGGAAATTTAATATCAGGCTTATAGTTCCAAAGAATGGACTTTAATCAACATCACAAAATTCCAGTTGGATTAAAGATATACATGTCTTTATATCCTAAACAGAGTCCTATATTCAGCAAAAATATATTTCAAAAATAAAGGCTCTTTTCAGAAACAAGAAGCTAAAAGGATTCATCACCAGTAGACCTGCACTACAAGAAATGTTAAGGGAAGTTCTTCAGGCAGAAGGAAATTGACAACACAAGGAAATCTAAATCTACACAAAGGAATGAAGAATATCAGAAGTCGTAAATACATGAGTAAATATATAAGATTTTGTTCTTATTAACAAAATAACAACAATATGGCCGGGCGCGGTGGCTCACGCCTGTAATCCTAGCTCTCTGGGAGGCTGAGGTGGGCGGATTGTCTGAGCTCAGGAGTTCGAAACCAACCTGAGCAATGAGCGAGACCCCGTCTCTACTATAAATAGAAAGAAATTAATTGGTCAACTAATATATATAGAAAAAATTAGCTGGGCATGGTGGCACATGCCTGTAGTCCCAGCTACTCGGGAGGCTGAGGCAGACAGTGTCGTCAGGCGGAAGTACTGACAGCGATCCCCGCAGCGTGGCTCCTGCCATCCTCGCGATCATCCATGCTGTCGTCAGGAGGAGTAGCCAGCACGTCTTCATGCGCTCCAGAGGCTGCTGCACCCGTTCTAGTCAGCCGCGTGGGCACCCAGATGGGATTGTCCTGGTCCTGTGGAAAATAGCTCCCTGGATCTCATTATCACTGGATCCGGGCCTTCCCATAGATTAGACAACACATCCTTCCCATTTTACTACCTCCTGCTGGTGTGGGGCAGGCATAGCATGCCTGTCTGCGACTG